TTGGGGAAGTAAAGGCGGAGTGGAAAGGAACTGGCCACCCTACCACATTATGCCGAAGGCCCAGGAAGGTACCACACTAACAAGGCAATCCCCAATGTCTGGATCGGATTCGGGAACAACTTTACTTTTTACCGCCACCCCCTCCCTTGCCTTCTTGAGTTGACTTTTCCCTGTATCATAGTGGCACTGTTTAAGAGGACCACCTGTTTAAGTTGGCCACTCTTCTTCTCGAAAATGGATGGTCACCTTGGAAATGTTCAGTCTTATTTCTAAAACATCACATGGGAGGATGGTTGGACGGGGTTTCCACTGGTTGGCCCAACATCAGTTTGGGTCATCTGTTGCGTCGTTCTGTCGCTCCTGATTTTCACACTTTCTTAAATGACGCGCTTGTTGTGGACACAGATAGAAACAACAACCCTGATTCAATTTTTCAACAACAAAATTGTTCGCCGGTTGTCGTGTGGAATACACGTGTACATATTACGTTTGAGTGCTCTATCCAGAACTTTCGTGACTCACTGCGCATGCGCAGGGTCTCCATCTTCACAGGCGAGACTGCGCTTTTGTCGCTGTGACGTCATTCACTATTATCACATTTATATTATTTTAATAAATAACTGGGGGTCGAAATTTTACTTCCACTCACGTTTGCTGAGATTGAAAAATGTGAGGCAGCGTGGTGGAATCAGGCTCTCGTCAAAATAATTAAAGTGAAGAAACTTGCATTTTTCCGCAGGTTTTTGAATTTTTATTTTATTTTATTTGTTTGTTGGCTCAACACCTTTCATGCCCATTAAAAAACTCTTTTCTGTGTGGATTTTCCCGAAAAACTTTGATTAAAGACACAGAAAATGTAAATATTTAGTTACCGCGGACTCTTAAGCTAAGGAAATACCTAACTTTCAGCGGCCATTTTCTCACTAATTTTACTTCTGAAAACAGATGCCCCCCACCTCCTTCTTTCGTAAATATCTCAACTTGTATTAAAGATAAACGGATATTTTATTCATCCAAATAAACACAAGTAAACAAGCTTTAAGATGATATCAATAACACTACATGCTCAAAAATTGACGAGAGCCTGATTCCACCACGCTGCCTCACATTTTTCAATTTTTAAAGTTCTTTTTGGGAGGTAAAGTGGGTCAGTAAAACTGACTTTTCTTTTCATTTTTTTTTTCATAGTCAAATAGTTGACAGTTCTCGTCTCGAGATGAGTGACGTCCTCTGTGTACACAGGCTAGAGTCATTGGCCCAAAAGTCTCGGAATAGACAAGGACGGCCATGACCTGCGTACACATTTCGATAGATCCGACGATAGATCCGACGATAGATCGGACGATAGATCCACCTTTGCAGGGGATCACTTGTTTTTGTTTATAAGCAGACTTTTTGTGAACTTAACTTGCTTAAAAAATGACACTTACAGTTGAAGTTTTCAGACTTAGACTTGTGGCGTTATAGAAAAACGCGAGGGGTTATGTTATACATGTACGTGCAGGTATAGGTAAACAATTTTGCACTCACGTATCTGAGCACATGCCATCAGTCACAGTTAATCACTCGCTCACACAGACACACTCACGTACACACACACATGCACGCACACACACACACAAACACATACACGCTCGCGCGCACCTCGCGCACACACACACACACACACACACAGACACACACACACACACACACGTACACTAATACGAACATACCTAGACACAGATAGATAGGAAGATATATGGTCATTGATATAGTGCCAGCGGGAGAGAAAGAGAGAGAGAGAGAGAGAGAGAGAGAGAGAGGGAGAAAGAAA